ATGTAATATATACACGTAACTCAAACATACACACAAACAAACACACAAACAAACACACATAAACATAGACACAAACGGACACACACAACTAACACACACAGTTAGGATACCGAACATACGTACACTTCCATCGTTGCGTAAATGTCAATATTTTTTTCATTGTTTGTTATTTATCTTATGTGTATACGTTAAATATTTGTATATTTAGCTTTCTAATGTTTTATAACAACGTACACTTCTTGTGTGTGACTGTGTGGTCTTTTCTATTTAGAGTTTTAGGGGTTAAAGTTTTCGGGTGTTGGATTTTTGTGTATCTTTTTCAGGGGGCTCTGTACGCGCCTATTTATGCCGCTTTGGGGCAGGGGGGCCATGGGCCCGTGTGGGTTTATAGTATTCTATTTTCAGAATGCTATTTATTATTTACTCTCCGCCTCAGGTCCCACGTCCACTATCCATCCGCCATTCCGCCAGCGTGTCGTCAGACTTCACTACAAACTCGCAATAACTCGCTTGTCAAGTTGTCAGTATGTACCGGCGATTTTGTACACAGTTTTTGGCCAATGAATATTGTATCTATATATGTATAATACAAAACATTAAAAATAGTAATTTGAGATCAAGGCTAAGCTCAATCCGTTAATTGTATACAGAATAAAAGCTAAACGGAAACGTATACTGATTCGATATGAGAACGTTAAATTTTTTTCACAGGTCAAACTAGAAAACGAAATTCTCAAATTTGCACTCAGCATGTAAACCTAAATTCTAACGAAATGGACTATATGGAAAACAGCGACCAATAAATATCTGGTCTACAAAACGATGATTTCGACTGACAGAAAGGCCCGCCGGAGACAATTGATGGCCTGGAAATTGCATCACTTCAAATTTCATAGCTAAAACGGAAACGTTTACTGATTCATATTGAAAAAGTTAAAACGGGAAATTGGAATGTGGTTAGGATCAAGGTATAAACCAATAAATTATATTGGCAGGATATGCTGATTAGCTGATGATGCCGGGATCCTCTGGGGAGCTTGGCAGTCCAGAGTCCAGAGTCCAGGGCTCCAGGGCTCCAGGGCTCCAGGTTGGAGCCTCTTTGAGTTTGAGGTAGCGCCATACATTGCGCCATACATTGTTCGTCAAGGCGAACTCGTCCCGAGTGGCCCGAGTCCCGAATCCAGAGTGGCCCGAGTCCCGAATCCCGAGTCCCGAATCCCGAGTCCCGAGTCCCGAGTCCCGAGTCCCAAGTCCCGAGTCCCAAGTCCCGAGTCCCGAGTCCCGAGTGCCAAGTCCCGAGTGCCAAGTCCCGAGTGCCAAGTCCACCCGAGCAAGCGGGCAAGCTTATTTACCCCGTAGCTGTGGGAGGACTGTGGAGGGATGTTTTGTATTATACATATATAGATACAATATTCATTGGCCAAAAACTGTGTACAAAATCGCCGGTACATACTGACAACTTGACAAGCGAGTTATTGCGAGTTTGTAGTGAAGTCTGACGACACGCTGGCGGAATGGCGGATGGATAGTGGACGTGGGACCTGAGGCGGAGAGTAAATAATAAATAGCATTCTGAAAATAGAATACTATAAACCCACACGGGCCCATGGTGGAGTGTGGACTGTAATAAGTCAGTGTCTGTGACTGTGTGTGTGAACTGTGAAGACTGAAGTGTGAACTGTGAAGTGTGGATTATGGAACTGTGGACTGCGGAGTTATGGTTTGAACCGTTTGATGTAGTCCTATCGTGGTATATGTACATATTTTTAATCTCTCTCTCTACTTTAGAGAGTAGAGTAGACTAGATATTAGCCCTAACTCCCTAAGCTACATATACATATTAAAATATCTAAACTACTAGAGACTATAAAAAGTGAGAGGATCATGTTGATGTTTGTTGTGGTTGGTTTGATTTTTATATATAGTATAATAAAAAACAACCAACCAATAAAAAGGCAACAAAGATTTTTTTTAAATTTAAAGGCTAGTAGAGAGTATAAATAGAAAATAATACAAAACACTTTTTTCTTATTAGTACTTTTTGAGAAAATAAGTACCAATGCCTTCTTTATTCATTCATATGGAAAGAATAGCCTAATATAGTGTTGTTTGTGAGAAAAAATAAATAGGTAATTCATCATTTCGAACTAGATGAATTTCGATAGCAAATCGATACAATCTGGCACTTGTCGTCTATATTTAGTATTTACACTTTATATAGGCCGTCGATCCGATTTGGAATATGTAATTTGGAAACCGCAAGAATACCAAAATCCCAACTATCTAAAATAATTAACAAACTTTTAAAAAATAAAGCCAGCCCAAAAATGTTTTTATCCGTAGTCGTGGGAGTCTAGGACTGTGATATCCGCGACTCCGCGTGTATTTATTTATCTGCACTTCTGTACTTCTGCAGTTCTGCACAGTCTACACTCCACAGTGCACACAGTCTGTCACAGTGTCACAGACTCTCAGGATCACACTTGACAGTTGACACTTCACAGAGTTCACAGCCTGACACAAGGGAGTAGAAAGAGATTTAATAACATTTTGTTGAAAAAAAAATCAAAATGGATAAAATTCACAGCCTTCTACAAGTTCAGGCTATGATAAATTTCATAAATGTGAAATTCTGGAGTTTGCGCCCTCAAAAGTCAAAATAAGAGTGAAATCCGATGGAAATTATAGCATTTAAGTATAAATTGCATAATCTCGATGCCACTTGTTTCAAAAACTCGGAACCAGACTTTCAAATACACATAGCTTCAACTTCGCACCTGTACAATAGATCCCCATGTCAAATGATAAGAAAGATGCGTCCTCAGACGTCATCTTAAACGATGTTAACGACCATGCCGAAGCTGACAATACCAATGTCTCCGCTGCGTTTGCACGTAAGCTAGACTTTCCTCTCCCCGAAATTTTCTTGACTGGATTCACACAAAACATCGTTGCTGGTTTAGTATGCTTCTGTTGCCCGGGTATGTTCAACGCCATGCAGGGACTTGGTAATGCTGGTGGTAGTGATCCTGCTGTCTCCGCGGCAATGAATGCCGCACTTTACGGCGCATTCACCGTGTTCGGTTACTTTGGAGGACTTCTGTTCAATCTTCTCGGAAACAAGCTCTTGATGGTCCTTGGAGGCTTGACCTATTGCTTCTATGCCATCTCTGTGTACCTTTGGGGCGAAGACGAATCATTCGCCGCCATGGCTATCACAGCCTCTGCCATTCTCGGTGTTGGGGCTGGTTGTCTTTGGACTGCGCAGGGAGCCATGACGCTATCGTACTCAACTGAAGACAAGAAGGGTCTGTTCACTGCCATCTTCTGGATCATCTTCAACTTGGGCGGTGTTACCGGAGGATTGATCACCTTTTTTATGAATATGGGGTCCGATGGCGCTGCAGGTGTTAACGCTGCAACCTACTTCATGTTCTGTGGACTAATGATTCTGGGTGCTGTTGTTGCACTTGTATTGGTTGTACACCCGTCTAAGGTTATAAAAGCTGACGGCCAGTTAGTGGTTTTCGACAAAGCTGCCTCTCCAGTGGAAGAGATTAAGAGTGTGCTCAAGCTGTTCACCAACAAATACATGCTTCTGCTTACTCCACTAATCATACAATCCAACTGGTTCTACACATACGAGTTTGGAGGTATCAACGGAAATTTGTTTGATGCCGAGACTCGAGGTTTGAACAGCGCCATCTACTGGGGCATGCAGATGATCGGTGCCTATGTAGTTGGTGCTCTCTTCTTGGACGCCGCCTTTATGGGACGCCGAAAGCGTGCTATGTATGGTCT